ATGGGCTGTGCTTGGAGGAGTGTCCAGCAGGAACGTATTATGAAAAAGAGACTAACGAGTGCAGAGGTAAAGACTTCTGGGATTCAAAGTAGGCTTCGAGACCCCGGCGCCCTCCCCTAGCCCCAGCCCCAGCCCCCAGGCCGTGTGCTGGCCCAGCGGCTGGCATTAGCTCTGCCCGCCCTGCCTTCTCTTCTCATATGCAATATCAGTCATTCACAGGGGCGGCCGGTCCCCAAAATGCAAGACGCCTTCAGCCCCCAATGGACCCCAGTATTGGCCGGCGCCCCCCATCTGCCGTTTTCCTTTCCAAATGAAAGGAAACCCATAAAACCAACAGAAAACACACACACACACACACACACAATAGGTGATTATTTATTTGTTTTTAATTTATTTTGTCATATTTTTGTAAAACGGCAGAAATGCAATAAAAACTATATTTCAACAGTGCCCGAGGTCAGAGCAGTGGAAAAGGGAGTGGGGGTGGGGGAGTCTGGGTGGCTGGGGCCTGGATTGGGCACCCCCTCCCCCCATCCTGGTACAGGCTGGCTTGACCCTTGGGGGCCTCCTCCCAAAAACTGGGTCTCGGCCACAGATGGAAAACTCCAGGCTGTGCAGCCTCTGAGACGGCCCAGATTTGGAGGCCAACTTCAGCCCTGGCTTCAGCCACTAGACAAAGGAAGGAATCTCTAAGTGCTGAAAAGAGGCGGCAATGTGTGCACAGGCCCCAGTCCTGAGTAAGACTCCTTCTCAATGAGGACAGAGTGGTGGTTTGCAAGACGCGCCCCCTTCTGGCACACCCACCTCCTGGAACATTGTCTGGGGAGCCAGAGACAGTGGGAAGAGCTTGTGGCATGAACATCGGAAGGCACCTGGCACCTGAGCCTCCTGCAGTCCCCGAGTTGCGATGCTGAGAGAATGGCACATTTGGGTATCCCCAGGACACGGGTGGCATTGGGATGCAGCAGGGATGTCCCACTGTGGGACGGACATCAGACCCAAGTCACTGGGACTCTGTCGTATGACTCAGGAACAGGAATGTGGCCTCTCAGACCCTCAGGTTTGTCAGGAAGAAGAGGACAAATGTGTACACGTCCAAAGGCTTAAGGCTCAGAGACCAACGTGGCCATGCAGGAGGGCTGGGTCAGAGGGCCTGGCTGGGGCCAGTGTGAGCAAGGGGCCCTTCAGGAGGCTGTGGAGAAGTCAGAGTTCACTGGAGGCAGGAGAACAGCCTGTGCAAAGGCAGAGAAAGTGGAAGGCAGTCTGGGGGAACAGTGTGGTATGGGGCACCCCAAAGGCAGGAGGGGAAAGCAGAGGCTGGCTCAGGGGCCCGGCGTCCTCCCACAGGCAGTGGGAGTCACACAGGGTGTGTGTGCCAGGTGGGGCATGTCCTGACAGACCCAGGAGTTCTAGGGGGAGGCCACAGGGAGGCGAGCTGGGACACAGCCCTGAGACCCCATCGGAGGGAGCTGAGGCAGGCGAGGGGAAGGAGGTGCCTGCCCAGCAGCCCTGCAGACCCATGGGCAGACAGCACAGGCAAGAGAGCCCCCAGCCACTCAAAGCAGAAACTGGGGGCCGGAGAGGTCTAGACAGGCCTAGGGGAAGGGCGGGGGTGCCCCCTGCTCCCACTCTGGCCCCTGGCCTTGGCAGCTGAAGTCCCACCATCTCAGTCATTCACAGACGGACACCGCAGGCCTGCCCAGGTCACATCAACCCTGGGGACTGGGACTCCCCAGCTGGGCTGGGAGCCTCCAGGGCATTCAGCCCAACCCGGCACTACTGACCCGGCACTACTGACCGTGGTCAACTGTGTATTTCCTGACCACCTGCCCTGTGACCACATGGACCCTACAGCACCATCCCTGTGGTGCAGACACTTCCGAGAGCTGGGAGACACAGCTGGGTGGCCGTGCTGTGCCTGGGCCGGGTCAGCCACTCCTTGTGTAGGATGGAAGCCCACCCTGACACTGTCCGTCCTTGGGAGAGATGGGCTGCCCAGGCCCGAGGGTCTATCTGGGGCAGGCGGACCCTCCATAGCCCAGAGTCTCTGCTAGCTCTGTGGCCCAACCCCACGCCATCTCAACGCCCTCAGACTCAGCTTTCAAAACCAAGACCTCTGCCAGGCACGGTGGCTCACGTCTGTAACCTCAGCACTTTGGGAGGCTGAGGAAGGCAGATGACTTGAGCCCAGGAGTTTGAGACCAGCCTGGGCAACATGGCGAAACCTTGTCTCTATGAAAAATTTTTTAAAAATTAGCCAGGCAGTGGGGCACAGTCCCAGCACTTTGGGAGGCCGAGGCAGGCGAAGCACCTGAGGTCAGGAGTTCAAGACCAGCCTGGCCAACATGGTGAAACGCCATCTCTACTAAAAATAGAAAATTTAGCTGGGTGTAGTGGTGCACGTGTGTAATCCCAGCTACTCGGGAGGCTGAGGTAGGAGAATCGCTTGAACCTG